CCACTGTGAGGGTGGGGAATAATGACCACACAAAATGTAAAAATTCACATGACTGGAAATGTGCTTCCCTCATTTACGAACAGCGTGCGTACAGAACTGTTGGATTTTCCTCTTGAGGACGGTGTGAGCTTCTTGAATGAGCAGACCTAGGACTACAAGAATTCGTACATGTCCACCCGAACAGATAAAGCGCGTGAATACGACGCACTCTGGAGCTTGTGCATCTGACTTTCAAGTGTACAGTCCCGTTTCGATATTCAGGTGAGCTATGAAATGCCGCAAGTTGACATATCAACAGCACAACCGCACTCCAAAGCCGCAGGACAACACTGCATGCATCCAAAAGGCTCGACCAGGGATCGTCGGTGACATGCCTGAGCATATCAACCTGGGCTTGCAGACCAGGAGCTTAAACTATGATCACGGACGGCGAGGTATTGGGCATGTCCATCGTTGAGGTAACTTGCTTTTTCTGCAGGGCCTCCGAAAATCTTTCATTGTAATTTCATGACTTGTCGCCTTCAAGCTGCCAGCCCTGCTCAAGCTGCAGCACCAAGACAGGTTCAGTGAACATGTGCAGCGGCGGTGCCAAAGCCTCTAAGATCTGACCCCCGAGCCCGAAATGCCAGGCCCGTGCTTGTTCCATCCCTGGCTGGCTAGCATTGCTTTGTCCAGGCACGAAAGCTGGGCGTGCAACTCCCCCAGCTGCACGACAAGGAGGAACGAATGGAACGTGGAAATAACCATCGCGTGCTGCAGTCAGCTAGCATGGAGCATCAACTACCCCCATGAAACAGGCTCTGGCTGCTGCTACAGTCTGTCTGCAACAGCTAATCCGTGCAATGTATTGCAAAAAAGGTCCCGTATCCCCAACAAGAAGCTCGTGCTGAATCTGTAAAACTGGCACGGGAAGCAGCATGTCTCAACGACAGGCATCATGAAACAACCAATGCAACTTGCGGTGGTGACTCTCCTTAAAATTCATGTACATGCAGACGTCAAAGCTCACGGCCGACTTGCAAACTATGATCACCAACAACACAAGCAACAGGCCAGACCCGGCCAGCAGGACCAACAGCCGTCATTCACAAGTCTCCGTGATTGAACCTCTCATATCGAATATCAACTATGATGATATAGGATATATATACATCTCCTGTTCTATAAGCCCTGCTACAACCAAAAAAAGATATACTATGCAATCTATAAGTCACTCCAATTCGGTCCGAGAAAAGAATGAATGATACCAACTCGAGTTCTCCCAAACGGTTCATAGCGGAATACAATCCTGAAATTCAACTTACGCGTGTGCGACTTTTGCAGAAACGATGTTGCAGCAGACCAGCGACTTCAGCGGTCCAATGGAGTAATGCTACCTCGCAAGGTCCTCCCGCATTTGCTGTTCATTGCTAAGCCCTGCTAAGTATAAGTATTCTGAAAGTAATCCTGTTCAGAATGTTCATGCGGGTATGGCCGGGCCAACGCAGGAACAAGGACAGACCCCTTTCAGTCCGTCCTACTTGGAAGGGAGCGCTGGCTGGGAAAACCAGCTCCAGACACTACAGACTGAATCAGCTGAATACAACGCGGCTCCACCAAGCGTCCGTCCAACTGACACAGCTGCCGAAGAAACTGATTCCACAGCTGTGCCGAGGTAGGATGTAGCAGAGCTCACTCCTTCAAGAGTCAGATCTGAGACAACCTCAGCAAGCGAGACCTAATTGTCTGGCAAGGACTGTACTGACAGCAGGCGAAAGTCAAGTAAGCTAAGAAAATCCAGCGCTACATAAGCCGCGACACTTTCTTGTACGGAGGATTCTGGCAAGCACTTCTTCCTACACGCAAGTGTTGCCTCGCTTGCACGCGTGCAGTTTCCTCTTGCGGCATTCACTCCAGCAACTCTGGCGAAACAGCTGCTGCCTGGAAAGTATAGCCGAAGCCTTGGCAAACCTTCCAGTTCATCCAAAGCAGCTACTGGCACGCAACAACAGCTTTTGCATCCTGATGCAAAGCTGACATGCCCAAAGCAGGCGACTACATGGCACCTTATACAGACATGGCACCTAGTACAAAACTCCTACGTAATGACTCTCTCGCTGTTCACATAGGATATTTGACATGCCTGGTAGTGGTGGTTGCCCTAAACTTGCTAAGGACGAAGCCCGCCCAGCAGAGCACACAATCTCTTGCAGCAGAGCCTGTGAGGATCAGAACATCAGCAGGAACAATCTTTCTTGCTGAAATTGTACAGTAAGTAGTGGGCGTTGTCTACAATCGAAGTCGGATTTTAGCTTGCTGATAGCCTGTTCGGGTCTATTTGGGATCTGCAACCTGGATGGCCGAGGCAGCGCCGCTGACACCATGTGTTCGGGAGAAGTCCTTGAAATAGACAGGCGGGCCTTTCAAGGAAAGACTCGGGCTCTGGTTGTCGCTCACCATAGCACCCACGGTGTGAACAGTGATGGTCTTGACGTGCACCGTTTTGATGCACACCTTGGCTTCCTTCACTTCCTTCTTCGGTGTCTGCGTGGCCCGCTTTGCCAGGTTAGCAGCGTGTGAGACCGTTGCCTGTCCAAGTTGTACCACGCCACCTGCTGCATCCCTGACGTTGCTGACTGCACGAGCCCCCAGCGATGCTACATCTGTTGCCTGCTGGCAATCCTCATCCGCCTCATTCCCTAACTCCCCTTCCTTCGACTCTTTTTTCGCGAGCTTGTCCAGCAGCTCCTTCACGTTGCTTGTGCTAAGCCGTATCTTCTCCACGGTCAACTGCAAGCCATCCACAATGAGCTCCTCGATCAATACCTGCCGAAAGCCTCAAGACATTAGCAGCTCACTGAAGAACTTGAGCATGCTTCAAATCACTTGCACAAAGTTTGCAAGCTTTGCCTGTTTTGAGGGTGGCCATCGCATTGACCTGAGCCCCAAAGCTGGCACAAAAAAAACATTGCTGGTGGGTGAGCTTACGATTTGACGGGAAGCGCGAACAGCTCGCGTGAGGTTTAGCGGCCTCTAAATGCCTCTAACTGGTTGCAAGGATCATGCACCCAAAGATCGCAATCACAAGGAAACGACGGCTGTGCGGATCCTGATTCCAATAGCACCACCACCCCAATACCTACAACGATGGCTCTCTCCAGCCCTGTCGAAGGGTGATGCTTGCAAAGATTGCGATCTATATTCGCTAAAGCGCCACAAGTGTTCTGAGGATCGAGATTTCTGTGCTGCGTTCCGATGATATGCGCAGCATGCATAATCTCGCGTCCTCCAGCCTCAATGTAAGAACCCAGCAAGGGTGTCAGCACCATAAAACAACGTGCAATCTCTCTGGGCTTCAGGCGGACACAGATATGGAAGAAACTTGCAGGAGGGACGGGCTCTTATAGGGCGGCAAATTTCCGACCTCCACACCTGGCCAGGCAAGTGCTACCACTACCCCTACAAGCATTCAGCATACCAGTAGTGTTGTAAGTGATGATATAGCAATGCTCTCAACGTGACTGCGACCAAACTGATGAAAGGTGCCATCCGAAGAAAACCGCCTCCGAAGTGCTAATGATAAACAAGCTACAAGAAGGATGGCAAAAGCATGTCATAAGAAGTGTACTGGTTCCACCAGCACAAAACCAAAATCAACACACGCAGGCAGCGCACCCACGACATGTTAAACATTGATGGGTTACACGAGCGAATCCCCAGGCTTGTCCCTGCTTAGCCTCCACGACAGTCACATCAACCCGAGCATACTTCTCCCAGCTTGTCCGCTAACGACACCTGCATGTGCTCCCAGTTCTATTCGCTAAGCCCCCGACCCTCATGTAACGGCTACTAGCACAATCAATTGCACTGTCATGAATATACCGTGCTACCATAATTCGTAGAAAGTCGTAGTGGTCATGGGTCGCTTACGCCCCATTGATTCACGGGTGTTTGGCCACGCGCCTGACACTTGGATTTGCATCTGGCAACCTGTCACCGTGACGCCGATAGAATCCAACTTGCACCTAAGTAGAACGGCACAGGCCAACAACTTCATCGTGTGATCAAAACTACGAGTAGGATTGTACCATCTTACACATCACAGCAACCTCTAAAGCACCTGGCCGCCCAACACGCATACTTGTCTTTGCACAGGCACGGGCTGCTTGCAAGCGCATTGCTTATCAGCGATTCGGTGAAGGTCTTGGCCTTGTTTTTCAATGCCTCTTTTGCGCACCTGACAGTGGCTCAACAAGAACTCAACACCTTGCGAATCGGACCGTGCGCATGTCTGATGGATGCGGACGGACTTGATCTAAGATCCTTGGCGTAAGCTAAGTGCACCTGTTCCATGTGACAATAGCGCCGCCAGTCCCGGCTGCAAGCGCCGTCAAGGCCACCAGCACCATCTCCACAAAACGAAGTGGCAAGTGCCGCTGTTTGCCATCAAGCAACCTTTGTCATGAGCCGAAACTCGAATGCAGGGCGGTGTCACTGTCTGCAGAATATTTTTATGCAGCGAATTGAGCATGACCTCCCCTCCCACTTTTCTAAGGTCTCGCTGACAGTCCAAGCTGCATGGGAACCTGGTAAGAAGCTGCACACAAAACTGAACAAAAAGTTGGCCCAAAACCACGCTGGGAATGGGAGCCTAGTAAGATGCGGAGCGTGCTGCAAAACATTTTCTTAACAGCCCAAAGCTGTGAAACTAAGAACTGCTGACTGTCCATGTCTCGCCACTCGCTTAGCTTCGCATCTGGCTGGCCGAAGCCCGACACGAGTTTCCGGCCATCGCATCTATGCGCAGAAGTCGGTTGAGCATGCTGCTGACTACCTTCAGTAAGTATGCATACGACACAACAAGAATTCTTCACGTCTAGCTGACTCATTTCATGCACTCTCAGCGTCTGTGCCAGCGGTATTGCTCGGCAGTAACCCAGGGTCGGATGCCCGAGAAATCTATAAGGCAGGGAACATTTTGACTTATCAGCAACTCTGGGATTTACTGCCCATCTTCGAAAGTCCAGCAAGATCTTTTGTATCTTGCTAAAGATGAAGCGACTCCACTGCTGCGAACTCCGTGCTGTCCAAAGGAGTGACAGATCAACCAGCATACCATGCTTCTGACACTGAGTTCTGCGAAGCTACAACACGACCAAGCCTTTGCCTCAGCCCTGGCACGCGCATCGGGGAAGCAAATGCCTGGCAGGGATGTATGGGCTCATTGTACCCGCATGTAGTTTCTCTTGTAGGATCGCTCCGACGCGAAGATTGAACTGAAAGCTTAGATGTAAGCACCAAAAACAGCTTTGCAAGCGTCTGTGAACAGCTGGATCCGTGGGTCTCTCGACGTTTGAGGGTTGTCAGTTTGGTTTCCCTGAGCTAGGAAAATAGCTGATGTGCCTTCCTTCATTCCCGCCCATGAGTTCTGATCAGCACCCCTCCAAAAGTGGATGCCGGATTTACGTGCGAAACTCTAACATGCTGTGGCAAGCCATAACCTGCAACAAGTATCGTTGCTTGTGTGCCGCACAGAAACCTGCAACCAAAATCGTGCTGGACTTGTAGAAGCTCATCTTTCAAGGAAAAACAGCCAATGCGCTTCTCGGACAACAGCACTTGTAGCTCAGTACATGGGTCCTGTGGCCGTTACTATTGTATACTATTGTCATTAGTTAGCGCTGTTGCTTCAACTGTTTGGCGCCCTGAAAGTATCATGCCCTGAACCAAAACCCCGGAACCGCAAGCTGAAGGAGCACATGAACACAAAGCATCCCCGCCACTGGGCAGCTAGAAATCATCAGCGCGCCTTCGTAAGATCATGATTACGCAGTAACTTGTAAAGGCCCACCGTGAACCCAAAAGTGTGAACTCTAAACTCCAAGCAGATCAAGCCAAGCCACCTCATGGTGAATGACACGCGGCGATCCCGCTCTAGCCGGTCCCCAGGCTTATAGCCCCAAGCAGCGGCCTACTTGGCTGGGCTCAAAGTTTTTTCGATCATTTCATGCTGATGATGCAGAGCACATGGTAGTGTCTATTGGGAGACCGGGCATTCGTTGTTGTCAAGCGGAAGCCTTGCGGGAAATTTGTCTGCAACACCCTTATCCCCAATTAGATCACCGGAAAGGACCAGGTCCTCCTAACATTCGCGTTGCAAGGGAACTGACAGCGTCTGGGCAGCAACTACTATGTAGTAGAAGTGAGGTAGAATGGTGCGCCTCACCTACCTCGTGATAGCTGAGCAATGTGCGCATTCCGGGTCTGCAGCTGGCCCACTTTCGTGGAGGCTTGGGATGACCACATGCGGTAAATATTGTGGACGGGCCCTACGTCCCGGTGAACCCACAACTCGATGATGTTGAGCCGTTGCAGCGGAATCCCCCGAATACTGCTGGAACCTTTCTCACACCTCTGGTCCTACAATGTCCCATGGGCTGTATGTAACCCCAAACCGTCCAGGCCTGCTCCAAGTTCACCAGATTGGATGGGATGTCCTCAGCAGCCTGCAATCCACACATAGAGCTGCTAGTCAAACCAGGATCACACATGAGGTCCAGCTGTATGAACTCCTGCAGCTTTCGCAAGTCTAAGGCCCAAAGAGGGGTGCATCATAATGAATCTCTAGAGGTAGGGCATCTGCTGCAGCATCGATGCCATGACGGTGGTGCCAGAAGGCATCGTGGCCTGCGCTATCGTGCCACGAAGGTCTATGTGGATATTTCCGGAAATAACG